TGGTTTCAAAGATCTTCTTGCTTTCTGTCTTAGTTTTATTTACCCAGGAGTCATTCAGGAGCAGGAGCAGGTTGTTCAATTTCCATGTAGTTGTGTGGTTTTGAGCTTGTTTCTTAATCCTAAGTTCTAATTTGATTGCACTGTGCTCTGGGAGACTCTTTGTTATGATTTCCATTCCTTTGCATTTGCTGAAGAGTATTTTACTTCCAGTTATGTGGTCAATTTTAGAGTAAGTGCCATGTGGTACTGAGAAGAATGTATATTCTGTTGTTTGAGGGTGGAGAGTCTGTAGATGTCTATTAGGTCCACTTGACCTAATAGGGCTGAATTCAATTCCTGAATATTCTTGTTAATTTTCTGTCTTGTTGATCTGTCTAATGTTGACAGTGGGGTATTAAAGTCTCCCACTATTATTGTGTGGGAGTCTAAAGTCTCTTTGTAGGTCTCTAAGAACTTGTTTTATGAATCTGGGTTCCCCTGTATTGCATGCATATATACTTAGGATAGTTAGCTCTTCTTGTTGAATTGATCCCTTTATAATTGTGTAATACCTTTCTTTGTCTTTTTTGATCTTTGTTAGTTTAAAGTCTGTTTTGTCAGAGACCAGGATTGCAACCCCTGCTTTTTTCTGCTTTCCATTTACTTGGTAAAATTTCCTCTATCTCTTTATTTGGAGCCTCTGTGTGTCTTTGCATGTGAGATGAGTCTCCTGAATACAGCACATAAATGGGTCTTGACTCTTTATCCAATTTGCCAGTCTGTGTCTTTTAATTTGGCCAGTTAACCAATTCACATTTAAGGTTAATATTGTTATGTTAATATTGTTATTGAATTTGATTCTGTCATCATGATGCTAGCTGGTTATTTTGCACAGTAGTTGATGCCATTTCTTCATGGTGTCATTGGTCTTATATTTTCATGTGTTTTTGTAGTGGCTGGTACTGATTTTTCCTTTCCATATTTATTTCTTTCTTCAAAAGCCCTTGTAAGGAAGGTTTGATGGTGATGAATTTCTTCAGCATTTGCTTGTCTGAAAAGGATTTATTTGTCCTTCACTTGTGAAACTTAGTTTGGCTGGACATAAAAATTGGCATCGAACACTCTTTTCCTTTAGAATGTTGAATACTGGCTCCCACTCCTTCTGGCTTGTAAGGTTTCTGTTGAGAAATCTACTGTTAGTCTGATGGACTTCCCTTTGTAGGTGACCTGGGCTTTCTCTCCAGCTGCCTTAACATTTTCTCCTTCATTTTGACCATGGATAATCTGATGGTTATGTGTCTTGGGGTTGATCTTCCTGTGGAGTATATTAGTGGGTTCTCTATATTTCCTGAATTTGAACGTTGGTCTATCATGCTAAGCTGGGGAAGTTCTCCTGGATAATATCCTGAAGAGTGTTTTCCGACTTGATTCCATTCTCCCTGTCTCTTTCAGGTATTCCAATCAGTTGTAGGTTTGGTCTTTTTACATAGTTCCATAATTCCTGGAGGCTTTGTTCATTTTTTTTCCATTCTTTTTTCTCTTAACTTGTCTGCCTACCTTATTTCAGGAAGATAATCTTTCATATCTGGTATTCTTTTTTCTGCTTGATCAATTCAGCTATTGATACTTGTGTATGCTTCACGAAGTTCTCATGCTGTCTTTTTCAGCTTCATCAGATTATGTCTCTCTCTAAACTGATTATTACGGTTAGCAGCTCTTCTAACCTTTTACCAAGGTTCTTAGCTTCTTTGCGTTGGGTTAGAGCCTGCTCCTTTACCTCAGCAAAGTTTATGACCCACCTTTTGAAGACTACTTCTTTCAATTCGTCCATCTCATCCTCTGTCCAGTTCTATGCCCTTGCTGAAGAGGTGTTGCAATCATTTGGAAAAGAGTCACTCTGGTGTTTTGGATTTCAGTGTTTTTTTTTTTTTATTGATTCTTTCACATCCTTATGAGTTTGTTTAGTTTTGATCTTTGAAGCTCCTTACCCTTGGATGAGGTTTTTGTGGGGACTTTTTTTGTTGTTGATGATGCTGTTGTTGTTGCTTTCTGTTTGGTTTTCTTTCAATAGTCAGGACCCTCTTCTGTAGGTCTGCTGCAGTTTGCTGGTCTCTATTCATCTGATTTACTCCCATGCCTGGAAATATCACTTGAGGAGGCTGGAGAACAGCAAAGATGGGTGTATGCTCCTTCCTCTGGGATCTCTGACCTTGAGAGGCACCGACCTGATGCCAGTAGGAATGCTCCTGTATAGGATGTCTGACAACCCCTGTTGGGGGTGTGGGTCTCACCCAGTTAGGTGGCACAGGACACAGGACCTGTTTAACAAAGCACTTTGACTCTCTCTTGGTGGAGGGGCTGTGCTGAGCTAGGAGGAAACCCACTCATCTGGGCTGCCTTGATTTTTCAGAGCTAGAAGGAGGAAAGACTAAGTCTGTTGGTCTGCAGAGACTATGACCGCCCCTCACCCTAGTGGCTCAAGCCCAGGTTGATCAGAGTTCTGTCCCTGAGCCCCTGGCTGGAGTTGGAGTTTCTGCAAGGAGGCCCTGCAGCCTCTGTGTTGGCTGCTGCCTCAAGGAGCTCAGAAGGCTTAGATAGTAGGCAGACATAGCTGTGATAATGGCTGCCTCTCCCTCTGGGGGGCTTAGGCCAATTCTAGCCAGGTGGCTGTTGAAAATCTGCATGGCTATTTGGTTGGGACCCAAGGCCCCATGGTGCGGGCTCATGAATGGGATCTTCCAATCCTTGGGTTGCACAGTTCCATGGGAAAAGCATGATTTCCCATGCTGGGTAGCATGTTCACTCACTGCCTCCCTTGGCTGGGGGTGGGGGCTCCCCTGCCCTAAGTAACTCTCAGGTGAACCACCTCACCACACCCCTCTTCCTTCCTCTCCGTGGGTCATGCCAGCTGCCTAGTCAGTCCTAATGACAGAACCTGGATTCCTCAGTTGCCAATGCAGGATTCACACATTATTTTGGATCTTTTCAATGGGAGCCTTCAATCACCACTGTTTCTAGTCAGCCATCTTGGCCCTGCTCCTAACTTTAATATTTTATCATCACTTATAATCAGCCTTTCTGAAGCAACAGCAGCCAAAGATACATACAGCATCCATAATCTATAAATGTATACATAATCACCAGTTGGCTTGAGGAACCCCATTTTCTACTGAGAAAAAAGAGATGGGTGGAGCTGGGCATTGACCTGATTAAGGGACATGAAAGCAGGTCATCCACACCAGTCAAAATGTGGGTGTGGTGTGGGTTGTGTTGTTTTACCAAAGCATACTCAGAGGAGTATCTTAAGCATCATTACTCATTTTGTTACCTCTACTAGCAATGGAAAGAATAAAGAAATGTAACTTTGTTGATGTTGGGTTCCTTAGAAGAAGCTGAAATATATGTAGACTCAAGTAATATTTTTATTTCTTCTTTGAGGCACAACTTTAATGGATTCTTAGATTTATTCTGGAAAATATTTGAGATTTTTTTTAAAAGGATTTGTTTACACTTTAGAAGGATAATCTTCTAAAGGAAGGATTTAGCACATTTATTGAAGATGAGGACAAATTTACCAGCCTAATTTAGAGCAAGAAAACTAAAATTTGAGGTTTCAGGAGGGTAATATCTAGATGTATTCAGATACTACAAAGGATAATCTACGTGGCAAAGAAAGATAAATATCAACATGTGGTATTTTTCTAGAAAAAATGCAAAGAAGCATAGCTATCATAATTATGTCCATAACTGTATATCTTAATTCATGGAGTAAAAACATGAAAAAAACCTCAGATTCTTTTCACTAGGGCATGCCAAGGTGTTGAACGAATGAATGACTGAACGAATACATGTTACTGAAAAATTTTCATAAGCTTTTTAATGAGGAACCACAGAAAAACCCTAATGATCAGAGACTCTTTGACATCCTCAAGCAATAATTTGTTCTTTCTATGGGAAGAAAGCTCCATTCAAAGAAGTTCTTTCTTAAAGGACAGGCTCTATACCTCAACAAGGGAGAAAATACGTCATGGTTATAAATTTCATGATAAAAACTGCCATTCATTTAGAAATTATGCTGGCTTACATTCCTATGTAAGGAATGTATGTAAGGACCTATCTTCTTGATATGCATTTCAAAACACTTTATTTGATGAATGAAATAAGAATTTTTGTTTTGGGTGGAATAGTTCACTTCATAGAATTAAAAAAAAAATTATATGCCTTAATACTAGGTTAGGCTGATACCTAGAGCCCATAATGCAGGCCCTGAAGGGCCAGTAACAAAAGAAATTAAACTACCTCTCTCCTTTGTGACAACTGCCAGATACACTTCATAATGTTTGACTATTTGCACAGAATTTCTTTGGATTTTCTCATTTCCAGAAGAGCCATGACAGTGGGAATCCCAGAGCTGATCAGAAAATTGAATTCCACCTTCAGCAGAGGGCAGGAAGCAATGAGGGAATAATTTTATGTTGACTGTAATTGTATTTTATAGAAAACAAAGGGATTATGAAATCCGTTTACTGGTTTTTGCCTTTTTTAGTTGTTAATTTGATATAGCCATACAGTGCATAATAATCACATAAAGATAAATGGGATATCCATCACCTCATTCATCATTTCTGTGTGTTATAAACCTTCCAGTTGTACTCCTTCTGTACACCTTATTGTTGCTACAATAAGGTGACCCATGCTATAAAACACTAGTTCTTATTCATTCTATCTACCTACATTTTGGTACCCATTAATCATCCCTGATCCCCTCCACTGCCCCCACTACCCTATGTATCTCCACTAACTATCATTCTACTCTATATCTCCATGAATTCAATTGTTTTAATTTTTAGCTCCTACAAATGAGTGAGAACATTCAAAGTTTGTCTTTCTGTGCCTGGCTTATTTCAATTAATATAATGTCCTCCACTTCCATTCATGTTGTTGCAAGTGACAGGATTCATTCTTTTCCATGACCGAATAGTACCCCATTGTGTGTATGTACTACGTTTTCTTTATCCATTCTTCTGTTGATCGACACTTAGGTTAATTCCAAATCTCAGCTATTGTGAATAGTGTTGCAATAAACATGAGAGTGCAGTTATCTCTTTGATGTATTGATTTCCTTTTGGGGCATATATACCTGGCAGCTTCTGCCTTTTGATGTCCTGTAATTTCCATTTCACTACAATGAATAGAACCAAATTAAAGCCTAGAATAATTTTAAGGTTTAGGAAGTCTTTAAGAAATAATATATGACCAGTATTTAATGATATAGGACCTATCTTCTTGCATTTAAAAACACCTTATATGATAAATGAAATAAGAATTTTTGTTTTGTGTGGAATAGTTTCCAGATAGGTAATAGCAACAACGTTCATAAAGAGCAGGTGAGTTCACAACAGAGAAACCTAGATCAGCTATTCTAAAAGTGTAATACCTCACCGACCAGCAGCACCTGCATCCTCTGGGAACTTCTTAGACATGAAAATTCTCTGGTCTCACGCCAGCTCTATCGAGTCAGGAGAGAGAGAGAGCATGTTCATGCACAAGTGGGGCAAAGCACTGTGTTTTAACTAGTCCTTCAAGTGATTCCGAAGCCCACTAAAATTTTTTTTTTTTTTTTTGAGACGGAGTTTCACTCTTGTTACCCGGGCTGACTAAAATTTAAGAACCAGTGCCCTTCACCTGTAATACAAGAACTCTGAAAGGCCAAGCCAGGCAGATCAATTGAGCTCAGGTGTTTGAGACCGGCCTGGTCAAAATGGCCAGACCCTGTCTCTATGAAAAAAATACAAAAATTAGCCAGGCATGATGGCACACATCTGCAGTCCCAGCTACTGAGGAGGCTGAAGTGGGAGGGTCTGTGGGACTCACTGGAGTCCCAGGGTCTGGGACACACCTGAGTCCCAGAGGGTGAGGCTGTGGTAAGCTGTGATCATGCCACTGCACTCCAGCCGGGTGACAGACTGAGATCGTGTCTCAAACAACAACAACAATAAAAACAAAACAAAACAAAAACGGCAACCCAGTATCCTACATATAATTTAAATACCTAAGATAAAGAGTTTATTAGGCAAAATGTTGAATGCTAATGCAATGGAATATCATGTTGTCATCAAAAATGACAATTTATAGTTGGATAATATAACTTAAAAAATGAAACTGAATTATGTACAAATTATAATATGAGGTAATTAAAATTATGTGTAACAAGAAAATTTGAATGCCATATTTGTAAAATGAAATTTAGAGGATTGCCTTGGTTGTGCATATGTAAATGTGATCATTTTATATTGCTGTTGTTTAGTTTAGAAGGAATTTATCTTTTATTAGGTAAATACATACTGAAAGAGAAAAAAATGCCTAACAATAGAAATAACACCTTTTTGTTTACAAAACACAATGAATAACTATTTTTTTTAAATGCATAACATGCAAATTAATTAACAGGTGAAAAATATTATATTAAATTGAAAAGGCCAGTTGCTTCTGGGGCATCTCTCTTGTTTTTAAGTAAAAGCACAGCTGAGAGAAGCAGAGGCTTCCTTGCCAATACATCTGCTTTCTTTACACTGTTCATAAGACACCTCACACTGTCTAAGTGGGAGACCAGCTTTCCCCAGGGTGTCACAATTGAAACACTCCACTTAGAATAGGACATAACATTCAGAGGCTGGAATCTTCCTGCCCCCACTTTTTTCTTTTTCTTAACCTCTGACTTGCCAAAAGAGAAAAATCCATCTATTCTGATTTCATGGAAATAAATGTTAGAAACAATTGTATATTTGACTCATTGTAATCCATAGACATGAGTGATACAAGATTTTAGAAGTGCATAATGCTGAATGGTTGGATTATCTGAGAGGTTTCACTTAAACAAGGGCCTTTCACCTCAAAATTATCATTTAAAATCAAGACATGGAAAATGATAAAGTACAATAAACTCCTGACTTGTAAGATTTGTTCCAGTTCTAAATGCTTGGTAATTCTATGATTCTACTGCTGTTTCATGGCTGGCAATGTTGTACAGCTTCAACGTATTCTGTGGAACAGAATATATATACGGGTATACTATACAGGAGGGTATTGCAATTGTCCAAGAGTGAGGTCATATTTTCCTGCCTGGGGAAGTGATAAGTCTGAATAGATGTCACTACATTTTGAAAGAGATGCCAAAAGGACTCGTAATCTATCCATGTAGACACCTTGGATCCCCAGGGTAAATGTTCAAAGAAATAAACTTTTGAAAGCAAACATAGACGGAAAAGCCCTGCCCTTTAAAATATAACCTTATTAGATCAATGTTCTAGCAAATCATAAGTATTTGTTGGTGGAGGGGGACATATCTATTTTCTTTTACAGTTTACAGAAATCTAATGGTTTCCAGTAAGGAGGTACATGTACCTCCTTAAGATAGTCCATTGAGATATCGAAAGAGCATATTATATTTATATTAACATTTCACCTAAAAATAAGAAAGAAATATTCTTTCTAATATTTAAAATACAAAATGACACACACACTCTCACATTAAGTATGCAACATATCCTGAGAGAAAGGCAAAAGTTCCATCAATGAGAGGGTTGGCGTTAATGCAATACAGCTTCCTTCATTAAATTATTATCTTGCAAGTTATTTTGCTATAGTTCAGTTAAATGAATTTACAGTGTAGAGTATTGAATTGTTACTAAATAAAATAAACAAATACTTAAAAAGATCCCCACCCCTTAATTAAAATGTGGAGTGAAGATGATGCTAATAATGCAAGTACAAGGGAAAAGTAATAGGGCTGACAACTCTATTCACGTCTGACAAATTCTGACAATCGTGAACACCAGAGTATCAAATAAAATGCATTGAATATAGAACAAGACCTTTGAAGTGCTGTATAATAAAGTATTAAACCCAGAGTTTTCAAAAATAAACAAATTCAATCAAATTTTTCTTACTATTAAGTAAAACTATTTAAAATATTGTGTATTTCGCTTTTTCATCCTTTAAAGCCAGGCATTTTTTTAAGGCATAATTTATATAGAGTAAAATTAATCCTATTTTAATGTGTAGTTTGGTAAGTTTAAACATGTGTACCTAGTCCAGTAATAATCACCTAATGTTATCTAGTTTTATCGCTCCCCAAATTTACTGTTGCCTTTTTGCAGTCACTTCCTCTCTCTACAACCTGAGCCCCTGGAAACAACTGATCTCATCATATAAATGAAAGCATACAATATGTAGCTTTTAGTGTTTGGTTTCTTTCACTGAGCATAATATTTCATTTTTTAAAAATGGTCTTGATATAATTGTAGATTCACATGTAAGAAGTGATAGAAACCCATATATCCTTTGCACAGTTCCCCACAATTGTAACATCTCGCAAAACTGTTGTACAATATTCCAACCATGATATTTAAATTGATACAGTCAAGATAGAGAACATTTTCATCACCACAAGGATCCCTCTTATTGCCTTTTTACAGCCACAATCACTTCCCTCAAGTCCCAACCCCTCCTTAACATCTGGCAACCAATAATCTGTTCTCCATTTCTGTAATAGTCATCTAAAGGCGATCATTAAAAAGTCTGGAAACAACAGATGCTGGCGAAGATGTGGAGAAATAGAAACATTTTACACTGTTTGTGGGAGTGTAAATTAGTTCAACCATTGTGGAAGACAGTATGGTGATTCCTCAAGGATCTAGAACCAGAAATAAAATTTGACCCAGTAATCCCATTTCTGAGTATGTACCCAAAGGACTGTAAATCATTCTACTATAAAGATACATGCACACATATGTTTATTGCAGCACTATTTCATAATAAACATATGTGTGCATAAATAGCAAAGACTTGGAACCAACCCAAATGCCCATCAATGATAGACTGAATTTTAAAAATGTGGTACATATACACCATGGAATACTATGCAGCCATAAAAAAGAATGAGCTCATGTCCTTGCAGGAACATGGATGAGGCTGGAAACCATCGTCCTCACCAAACTAACACAGGAACAGAAAAGAAAACACTGCATTTTCTCACTCATAAGTGATATCTAAACAATGAGAACTCATGGACACAGGGAGGGAAACATCACACACTGGGGCCTGTCAGGGGTTGGCGAAAAGGGGCAGGAGAGCATTAGGACAAATACTGAATGCATGTGGAGCTTATAACCTAGATGATGGTTTGATATGTGCAGCAAACTACCATGGCACATGTATACCTATGTAACAAACCTGCAATTTCAGCATATATCTCAGAACTTGAAGTTAAATAAATACATATTATGTAAATGTAATCATATAACATGTATTCTTTGGGGATTGGCTTTTTTTCACTTTGCATAATTCTCTAGAGATTCATCCAGTCCACATGTTTCTTGCCAGTATATAGAAATAAAATTGACTTTAGTATGTTTATCTTGTGAACTTACTGAACACACTTATTAATTCAAGGAAATTTTGGATATTCCTTAGAATTTTGTTCACAGATAATCATGTCATTTTGCAAATATGGATAGTTTTGTTTCTTCCTTTTCAATCTTTTATGTCTTTTTTTTTTTCTTTCATGTGTTAACAGAATTGGCTAGAGCTTTCAGCACTGTGCTAATAGGAGGGGTGAGAGTGAACGTCCTTGCCTTGTCCCCATCTTGTAAGGAAAGCATTCAGTCTTTCACCAGTAAGCATAATGTTAGCTGCAAGTTTTCCCCACTTGTTTTGTAAATTCTCTTAATCAAGCTGTAGAAGTTCCCTTTTGCTCATTTTCTTCTGAGAATTTTTATCGTAAATGGGTGTTAAACTTTGTTAATACTTTTTTCCATATTAATTGACATGATTATGTGATTTTTTCTTTAGCTTTTTAATATGGTGGATTATTTTGCTTATTTTTTAATATTGAATAAGTCTGGAATAAATTCTACTTTGTCATGATGAATACTTTTGAATTACATTTGTTTATTTTAAAACATAATTTTTGAATATATGATCATGAGAGATAATAATCTGTGGTTTTCTCTTGTTGCACTGCCCTTGTTTGTTTTTGGTGTCAGGATAATAGTAGCTTTATAAAATGAGTTGGCAAGTGTTTGCCTCTATGTCATAGAAAAGAGTCTGTAGAATTTGTGT